TCATTATAGATTGTAATAATACACTGCCCCGCAGAGAGATAACGTGAGGACATCATTATAGATTGTAATAATACACTGCCCCGCAGAGAGATAACGTGAGGGACGTCATTTTACACTGTAATAATACACTGTCCCGCAGAGAGATAACGTGAGGACGTCATTATAGATTGTAATAATACACTGCCCCGCAGAGAGATAACGTGAGGACATCATTATAGATTGTAATAATACACTGCCCCGCAGAGAGATAACGTGAGGGACGTCATTTTACACTGTAATAATACACTGTCCCGCAGAGAGATAACGTGAGGACGTCATTATAGATTGTAATAATACACTGCCCCGCAGAGAGATAACGTGAGGACATCATTATAGATTGTAATAATACACTGCCCCGCAGAGAGATAACGTGAGGGACGTCATTTTACACTGTAATAATACACTGTCCCGCAGAGAGATAACGTGAGGACGTCATTATAGATTGTAATAATACACTGTCCCGCAGAGAGATAACGTGAGGACGTCATTTGGCACTGTAATAATACACTGCCCCGCAGAGAGATAACGTAAGGACGTCATTTTACACTGTAATAATACACTGCCCCGCAGAGAGATAACGTGAGGACGTCATTTTACACTGTAATAATACACTGCCCCGCAGAGAGATAACGTGAGGGACGTCATTTTACACTGTAATAATACACTGTCCCTCAGAGAGATAACGTGAGGGACGTCATTATAGATTGTAATAATACACTGTCCCGCAGAGAGATAACGTGAGGACGTCATTTTACACTGTAATAATACACTGTCCCGCAGAGAGATAACGTGAGGACGTCATTTTACACTGTAATAATACACTTCCCCGCAGAGAGATAACGTGAGGGACATCATTATAGATTGTAATAATACACTGCCCCGCAGAGAGATAACGTGAGGGACGTCATTATAGATTGTAATAATACACTGCCCCGCAGAGAGATAACGTGAGGATGTCATTTTACACTGTAATAATACACTGCCCCGCAGAGAGATAACGTGAGGGACGTCATTATAGATTGTAATAATACACTGCCCCGCAGAGAGATAACGTGAGGATGTCATTTTACACTGTAATAATACACTGCCCCGCAGAGAGATAACGTGAGGACGTCATTATAGATTGTAATAATACACTGTCCCGCAGAGAGATAACGTGAGGACGTCATTATAGATTGTAATAATACACTGCCCCACAGAGAGATAACGTGAGGATGTCATTTACACTGTAATAATACACTGCCCCACAGAGAGATAACGTGAGGGCGTCATTATAGATTGTAATAATACACTGCCCCACAGAGAGATAACGTGAGGGCGTCATTATAAATTGTAATAATACACTGCCCCGCAGAGAGATAACGTGAGGATGTCATTTTACACTGTAATAATACACTGCCCCGCAGAGAGATAACGTGAGGACGTCATTATAGATTGTAATAATACACTGTCCCGCAGAGAGATAACGTGAGGACGTCATTATAGATTGTAATAATACACTGCCCCACAGAGAGATAACGTGAGGGACATCATTTTCCACTGTAATAATACACTGCCCCGCAGAGAGATAACGTGAGGACGTCATTTTACACTGTAATAATACACTGCCCCACAGAGAGATAACGTGAGGGCGTCATTATAGATTGTAATAATACACTGACCCGCAGAGAGATAACGTGAGGATGTCATTTTACACTGTAATAATACACTGCCCCACAGAGAGATAACGTGAGGGCGTCATTATAGATTGTAATAATACACTGCCCCACAGAGAGATAACGTGAGGGCATCATTATAGATTGTAATAATACACTGCCCCGCAGAGAGATAACGTGAGGACGTCATTATAGATTGTAATAATACACTGCCCCGCAGAGAGATAACGTGAGGACATCATTATAGATTGTAATAATACACTGCCCCGCAGAGAGATAACGTGAGGGACGTCATTTTACACTGTAATAATACACTGTCCCGCAGAGAGATAACGTGAGGACGTCATTATAGATTGTAATAATACACTGCCCCGCAGAGAGATAACGTGAGGACGTCATTATAGATTGTAATAATACACTGCCCCGCAGAGAGATAACGTGAGGGACGTCATTTTACACTGTAATAATACACTGTCCCGCAGAGAGATAACGTGAGGACGTCATTATAGATTGTAATAATACACTGCCCCGCAGAGAGATAACGTGAGGACGTCATTATAGATTGTAATAATACACTGCCCCGCAGAGAGATAACGTGAGGGACGTCATTTTACACTGTAATAATACACTGTCCCGCAGAGAGATAACGTGAGGACGTCATTATAGATTGTAATAATACACTGTCCCGCAGAGAGATAACGTGAGGACGTCATTTGGCACTGTAATAATACACTGCCCCGCAGAGAGATAACGTAAGGACGTCATTTTACACTGTAATAATACACTGCCCCGCAGAGAGATAACGTGAGGACGTCATTTTACACTGTAATAATACACTGCCCCGCAGAGAGATAACGTGAGGGACGTCATTTTACACTGTAATAATACACTGTCCCTCAGAGAGATAACGTGAGGGACGTCATTATAGATTGTAATAATACACTGTCCCGCAGAGAGATAACGTGAGGACGTCATTTTACACTGTAATAATACACTGTCCCGCAGAGAGATAACGTGAGGACGTCATTTTACACTGTAATAATACACTTCCCCGCAGAGAGATAACGTGAGGGACATCATTATAGATTGTAATAATACACTGTCCCGCAGAGAGATAACGTGAGGATGTCATTTTACACTGTAATAATACACTGCCCCGCAGAGAGATAACGTGAGGGACATCATTTTAGATTTTCCAGCAGCTACATTGAAAAGGGTAAAAAGCAACAAATTTATCAGTAATTTTTTTTTTTATTTGTTTTTGAGTCAGGGTCTCACTCTGCTTCCCAGGCTGGACTGCAGTGGCCTGATCTTGGCCCACTGCAACCTCTGCCTCCCAGGCTCAAGCAGTCCATCTCAGCCTCCCAAGTAGCTAAGACTACAGGCACACATCACCATACTCAGCTAACTGTTTAATATTTTCAGAGATGGGGTCTCACTACATTGCTCAGGTTGCTCTTGAACTCTTAGGCTCAGGTGATCCTCCTGCCTCAGCCTCAGAGCAGTGGGATTACACACATGAGCCACTGTGCTTGGCCCATTGCAGTTAATTTTAATAATATATTGTATTTAACTGACTATATCCAAAATATTAACATTTTAACATGTAGCCAGTATAAACAATTATCAATGAAATAGTTATTTTTTCATACTAATAGTTTATATTTTTCCATCCTAAGTCTTTGAAATCTGATACGTGTTTTATACACACGTCCATCTAGACCCTTAATTGTCAGTGAAGATACCTGATCGGTACTGCATTTCATAAAGCCTCTGGAAAAGTAGAGTCACATACCCAAGTTGTTCCAGACATTCTTTAAAGTTTTACAGTAACCAAATTGAGTATCATTTTTTCATTTGAAATTCACAGTAAATTACTTCTAATAATTTTAGCAATAATTTTAAATTTTATTTCATTATTGTTTTAATAGTGAATTGATTGGAATGAAAATGAGTTCCAGGCTGGGCACAGTTACTTGTGTCTGTAATCCCAGCACTTTGGAAAGCCTAGGCAGGCTGATTGATTGAGCCCAGGAGTTTGAGACCAGCCTGGGCAACATGCCAAACTCTGTTTCTGAAAAATACAAAAATTAACTGGATGAGGTGGCAGGTACCTGTGGTCCCAGCTACTTGGAAGGCTGAGGTGGGAGGATTGCTTGAGCCCAGGAGGCTGAGGCTGCAGTGAGCTGAGATCACACTACTGCGCTCCTGCCTGGGCGGCAGAGCAAGACCCTGTCTCAAAACAGAAAAAAAAAAGGAAAAAGGAAGAAAAGAAAATGAGTTCCTCGGTTGTACTAGTGTTATTCCCCGTGCTCAGTTTTCACATGTGGCATTCACATTAGACAGCATAGGTATAGCCTGACACAGGGCAGAGATTCTTTTGTATGGGTAGATCGAGGGACCCCTTCGAGGAGGTGATCTGACCATATCTTCCCTCCTCCTCTCCACCCACCCTAGTCATGCCACCACGGTTTCCCCCAGATTTCTGCAAAGCTACCTACCGAGTCCTCTCCTCACTCCTGTTCTCTCTCCTGACACACAGTTTACCCACTATATAGACACACCCAATTTTTTTGTTAACTCTTAAGTCTGATGGTGCCACTCCCCAACTCAGCTCCCCTACCTCCCCCAGTGATGTCACACTTTGGATCAGATCCAAGCTGCTCAGCACCCCTTTCATGATCTGGCCCCTCCTGCCCTAGCCCACCCTCCCCACTGCACTCACTCTGCCTCAGTACACTGACTTCGTTCTCCTCACACCTGCACCCAGCCAGGACCCTGGCACCTGCTGTGGCTCTACCTGGAATGCTCTTCCCGTAGCACCCACATGGCTCAGAGTCTCACATTTGGACCTCAGCTCCATGTGGCCTCCTTAGAGGCACCTTCCCTGACTATCCCACTACTCTCTCACCCCTGCCCTGGCCTGTTTCTTCTTCATAGTAATGACCATGACTATCACTGTGCTGCTTTTTTTTTTTTTTTTTTTTTTTTGAGACGGAGTTTTGCTCTTGTTACCCAGGCTGGAGTGCAATGGCGTGGTCTCGGCTCACCACAACCTCCGCCTCCTGGGTTCAGGCAATTCTCCTGCCTCAGCCTCCCGAGGAGCTGGGATCACAGGCACGCGCCACCATGCCCAGCTAATTTTTTGTATTTGTAGTAGAGACGGGGTTTTACCATGTTGACCAGGATGGTCTCGATCTCTTGACCTCTTGACCTCGTGATCCACCCGCCTTGGCCTCCCCTACTGGAATGTAAGGTGTTTGGGAGCTGGCACTCTTCCACTCTAACTCACTGTTCTCTCTCCAGTACCGGGGACAGCTGGACACCTAGTGGGTGCTCAGCAAATGTCAAATGGATGGCCAGAGGTTTGTACAGTCCTCGTTTACCTCCTGATCAAGAACCCGCTGTGATCTCAGGCATAAAAAGTGTTGGCCGTGCCCTTCCTGAACGTGAGAGGGTGAGTGGGGGCAGGAATGCTCCAGGTGTTCTGACAGCGGTGTGTGCATGCGTGTGTGCATGTGTCCGTCCAGGTTAGGGGCCTGTGGACTCTGACACTGCCCAAAAGGCCCAGTTGGCCTCATGACCTCTCTTCTCCCCACAGCCCTGCCTTACCAGCTCTCTGCCCCGCTCTGAGTGTGGACCCTCAAGCGGGAGGACGGGATGCCTGCTGCACGGGGGAAGTCCAAATCCAAGGTGAGTGGCAGTTTCTCCTCAGGAACATCCATCGTGTCTTGTGAGATGTTGACCGTTCGCTTTCCTTTTAAGGAGACTTGTTGCCTATTGGAGATCCATCCAATGTCTAGTCCTTGGTTTTCTCCCGTTGCCATGGGGAGAAGAGCCTGAGAAGGGTCGAGCAGCCAGGAAACTGCCTAGCGGGCATCTCTCCATTCCCCAGTGTGCACATGGCCACTCGCCTGTTGGTTCAGCATTTCCAGGGGCTTTGCCGGTGCCAGGAGAAATGTCCTCCCTGGAGGAAGATGAGAGCCACTGTGATTTCTCAGCAGGGAAATGAATGCCCAGGTGGGGCCTGCAGTAGCAGAGAGGATTTGACATGTGCTCTGGAGTTAGTCTTGTTATGTGCTTTTGTTTCTTTTTCTTAAACCCATATTTACACGGAGGAAATCTCTCTAGCTAAGGTCCCAAGAGTGAGAGGCACCATATAGCCCTGTTACTCCATTGAGTGCACTGGCGCAGTGAGGCGGTGCGGGCAGCCTCCTGTGGTCAGCATGCTCCACCGCTGTCAATCGTTGAGTGTTATTTACAACAGCGTGTCAAACGCAGTTTCCCATAGCAAGCGTGTTTGCTTTCAGTTATGCGCATTAGTTCCTCCTTGCTGCTGTAACACATTAGCTGCAAACCTGGCAGCTCAAGGCAGCACGTGTTTATTATCATGCAGTTTTGTGGGTTGGCGCCCAGGCACAGCATGATTTAGCTGAGTCATCTGCTTTGGAGTGCACAGGGCTGAAATCAAGGTGTCGGCCGGCTGTATTCTCATGTGGGGCTCAGGTCCTCTTCCAGGCTTGCTGGTTTTAGTGGGCAGGTTCACTTCCTTCTCACATTTTCCACCTGACCCTTATTTTTCATCTTCAAGACAGCAAGAACTAATAAGCAACTGGCCAGGTCAAGTCCAAGATAATCTACCTATTTTAAAGTCCTCTTATGTTAAGGTCAAGTGATCAGTGACCTTGATTATACCCTCAAAGAACCTTTTGTCATGTGTAACATATTCATATGCTCCTTGGAGAGCATGTGGTTAGATTAAATCAGGAGCCACACTGTCTGGATTGAACCCCAGCTTCTCCTTTTACTAGCTGTGAGACCTGCAGTAAGTTTTCTCACCTCTCTGGGCCTCAGTTTCCTCTTCTGTAACATACTGTGATTCCGTTGCTAATGCCTGTGGAAAGCTGCCTTGCCTTTGTAAATGCCTGGTAGATCCAGGTTGCCAGGTAGTTTTAATGCAAGATAATTTTAGTAACAGCTGTGTCTTATATTGTATTTTATTTAATTTCTTAATATGCCCCTTTTGGCCTGAGAACCCTGAGTGATTCTTGTAGCTCCTATCTCCCATGTTTAAGATACGTGGACCATTTCCCCCAGTCACATGGAAGCACGAGCCCATGGTGAATGGACGTCTGACTTTTCATTTCAGGCACCTATAACATTTGGGGACTTGGCCATCTACTTCTCCCAGGAGGAGTGGGAGTGGCTGAGCCCCATTCAGAAGGATTTATATGAAGATGTCATGTTGGAGAACTACCGGAACCTGGTCTCGCTTGGTAAGGCTCTTCTTCCCCCACAGTCCAGAACCAGCCCGTTGAGGGAGTGTGTCCCACTCTGTGTCTAGTCAGGAAAACGGAAGGCACTATAGTTTCTTTCCTTCCTCCCTCCCTCCCTCCCTCCCTCCCTCCCTCCCTCCCTCCCTTCCTTCCTTCCTCCCTTCCTCCCTTCCTCCCTCCCTCCCTCCCTCCCTCCCTTCCTTCCTTCCTTCCTTCCTCCCTCCCTCCCTTCCTCCCTTTCTTCCCTCCCTCCCTCCTCCTTCCCTCCTTCCCTCCCTCCCTCCCTTTCTTTTTTTTTTTTGATGGAGTCTTGCTCTGTTGCCCAGGCTGGAGTGCAATGGCATGATTTTAGCTCACTGCAACCTCTGCCTCCTGGGTTCAAGTGATTCTTCTGCCTCAGCCTTCTGAGTATCTGGGACTACAGGCACGTGTCACAACGCTCAGCTAATTTTTGTGTTTTTAGTAGGGATGGGGTTTCACCATATTGGCCAGACTGGTCTTGAACTCCTGACCTCATGATCCACCCACCTCAGCCTCCCAAAGTGCTGGGATTATAGGTGTGAGCCACCGTGCCTGGCCTGCATTTTTTTTAAAGATCTTTTTTGAGATATAATTCATATACAATTTACCCATAAAAAGTGCACAATTGCATTGTTTTTATAACAGTGTATTCAGAGTCATGCGTCTATCACCACAATTAATTATATTTTCATAATTCCCACTCAAAAACCCAGTACCCGTAAGTAATCACTCTTCATCTCCCCCAACCACTCATCCCCCCAGATTAGGTAACTACTAGTCCACTTTCTATCTCTATGGATTTGCATGTTCTGGACCTTTCATACATATGAAATCATAAATATGTGGCTTCTTTCATTTACAATGTTTTTGAGGCTTATCACATTGCAGCATGTGCCAATACTTCATTCCTTTTCATGGACAAATACGTATTGTGTGCATAGACCACATTGTGTTTACGCATTCATTAGTTAACTGATGGGCACTGGCTGGTTTCATTCTCCGGTTATTTTGATAATGCTGCTAAGAACATATACAAGGGTTTTTTTGTGGATATACATTTATTTTTCTCGGCTATATACCTAGAGGTAGAATTGCTGGGTCATGTGGAAACGCTGTAGGTAACTTTTGAGTTCTTTTGCTAGAATTTAAGGAATTAATTTAAGAGGCGTTGTTAAAGGGTGAATAGTGGACATGGATGTAACACAGAGATAGTAACTGCAGGAAGCTGCCACCATCCCTGGGGTTGGAGGGACAAAGAGAAGAACTTAGGGTTTTTAGGACTCCAAGGAAGGCCCCCTCAGATCTGGAACTCAGACTTTAAAGGGCGGGGAAGGGTGCTGCCTAGTATGTTTACACTCTTGGGGGGCCAGATGAAACCGGCTCTGCGAGTACAGAACTAACAAGTCTCCAGACACTGGCAGCAGAAAGCCCCTGCTGGTGGATGTGCACAGGAAGCAGCTGCTGAAGCAGAAGTGAAGATAGCGAAGCCCTAGCCCTGGGACCACAGAAGAGATCATAGAAGGGCGGGAGTCTGGAGCAGAAAGACAGTAACTCCCTAGCCAGCCTCAGGAGTTTCTGATTCAATTCTCAGGAAAACAGTTTGCTTTGTCGAGTTAAAATGTAACCACTCTACTGGCTGTAACTGAGATTTCTGCATCTCTGCGTGAGATTTAAACAACCAAACTCAATACCGCATACTCTCACACCAGATGTTTAGGGGTTCTCCAGCAGACCGCAGCTGGGTGTCCTCCAGTTCAGTACAGTTCTGACGCTGTCTACCTGGAGATAGTGTCAGATCTCACAGGGTGAGGGCCCGGTCCCATGAGACTGTCCCCTACTTGAGACACAGTTGTATGTCCAGGCCTCTGGACCTTCTGACTGACCAACTCTAGATTAGGGGATTCTCATGACCCTCTCCTCAGTTTCAGTCATTTGCTAGAACTCAGAGAGTCGCTTTACTTATGCTTACCAGTTTAGTATAAAATATATTACAAAAGGTACAGTTGAACAGCCAGATGCAAGAGTGCAGAGGGCTAGGTATGGGGGGCGGGGCAAGAGCATGCCCCCTCCACTGTACCACCCTCCACCTGGTCAGCAACCCTGATGCTCTCCAAACCCAGTACACTGGGGGTTTTTAAGGAGGCTTCAGGTAGGCATGCTTGATTAAATCGTTGGTCATTAGTGATAGGCTCAAACTCCAGCCCCTGTCCTCTCCTCAGGGGTCAGGCAGTGGGCTGAAAGTTCCAACCCTCCAATCACATGATTGGTAACCAGCCTCCATCTGAAGGCTGTCCAGAAGCCCCCAGCCACAGTCTTCCCTTAACAGATGAAAGACACATGCGGTAAATTCCAAGGGTTTAAGGAGCCGTGTGCCAGGAAACAGGGATGAAAACCAAATACCTGTTTCTTACTACAAATCACAGTATCGCATTCCCCGTTCTCCAGCTGCCCTTCACATCCTGTATGCTCTTTCATGTGGCTAAACCACATTCCTGTTGATGCAGGGCGTGGCTCTGACTTCTCTGGTGCCCACATTGATAGTCACTTCCCACGTTTGTCCCACGTACAGGTCTTTCCTTTCGGAGACCAAATGTGATCACCTTATTGGAGAAAGGGAAAGCGCCCTGGATGGTAGAGCCAGCAAGAAGACGCCGGGGTCCTGGTGAGTGACAAAGAGAACCGAGGCATATGTCTCAGTCCACTGGGGCTGCTATAACAGAACGCCACACACTAGATGACTGACAAACAACAGAAATCTACTTCGCACATTTCTGGAGACTGACAAGTCCGAGATTGCTGCATGAGCTGATTCCGTGTCTGGTGAGGGCCGCTTCCTGATTCATAGATGGCACCTTCTTCCTGGGTGTGTACGTGGAGGAAGGAGTAAGGAACTCTGAGAGAGAGATCGTAGGTGATTATAGATGATATTAATCTCGTTCATGAAGCCTCCACCTTCATGATTTAAGTACCTCCCAAAGGCCCCACCTCCTAATACCATTACCTTAGAGGGTACGATTTCAGCATAGGAATCTGGGGAGACACAGATGGTCAGTCCACTGCAGTATAGACGCAGGCATTCTGCATAAGAGCTCGCGTGATTGTGAGGGGCAGTCTCCTTTAAGCGATTATTTGTGTGCCTCTCCCACTGAAAGGCCCCAGGCCTATGCAGAGAATTCAAGCCTTTTTGGTATGGGTCCTAGAGGAAGAAAAGCAGCAGTTTCTAAGCCCTTACTGGGTGTCAGGCACTCTTCTAAGTACAGGCTCTTCCTCCCAGCAACCCAATAAGCTGAGTCTTCGTGTTAACCCCACTTTATAGATAAGCAAGCTGAGGCCCAAAGAGACTTGGTGACTTGCCCAAGGTCCCCCAGCTAGGAAGGAGCAGCAGAGGAGGGTTGAGGCCTAGCCTCTGCCTGTTTCCGAAGCTCAGCTCTCCACACCCTTATGCCCACCTGTCCCCCTGCATCTCCGCTTTCCCATTTCCCTTCAGAGAAGGTGTATGCTGGCCTCTCTGATCACACTAATAACATTCAAATTTGCGTGATTTTTGTCATTCCTTTCAAAATTTTTTTACCTCTTTTCTCCAAGTATTCTTTTCAGCTACTTTTCAAGGATTAATTTATAAATAGATTCCTCTTTGGTTGGCCACGTTGTATATTTTGTGTGTTTGTTTCTTTAAGTAGCATTCGTCGTGTTTCTTCTTGGGTGGGATGCTTCTTCATATAGGAGCTAGGGATGAACATTTTGGTGTAGGCTGGGAGAAAACAGCACCACCTCAAGCATCTGGCTTTGGTGACCTCCAGGGTCTGAGGGTGTCTAGTAAGCAGCCAGCCAGATGGCAGCAGAGTACAAAAAGAAGGACCCATCTTAATTTCAACATGAAAAAATATCCTTTATTAAAATACTGTTTTGAAGTTCAGAAGAAATTTAGTCATATAACATAAAGTTTAGAAAAAGGAAAAGGCAAAAACAGTTACATGTAGTCATCCCTGATGAGTCTGTTTTATGCAACTGGGTTTCATGGTTATTATAAAGTTTAAATATTTCTGCTTTTTCTCACATTTTGTTGTAGTAGCAATGATCTATGTTACCAGTCTCTCACGTCTTATTTTCCATTTACGTTCTAATTTATTATTACTAACATCAGCATATCTGCATAAGTGCTTTTACCTGGTTTCTGTAGTACTGAGTCACAGTGTGGGAGCTCTAGATACTTCTGAATTACTTTGCAGAAGAATTGTCAAATCACCTGCCCCCAACAGAAAAACTAGGCACTAGGTCTTCATCTAGTAGACAACATTTCTCAGAATTGCGAGGTTTCACAATTGTGAAATTTCACCAATTGTGGGTGTGTTGTCGCAATTTGTCGCTGGAGGAATGAAGTGCGGCCTGTGTGACTACACAAAGACGCAGCTCCTGAAAGCTCCTGACTTTCCCCCATTTCCCTTTGCACACTTTACTTTGGTTCCTTTTTCCGTCATCAATCATAGCAATGACTACGACTTCAAAGGGAGAATTACCAAATCAACACCGTCAATAGCAGCGAGGTTTGATTTTCATACTCACTAGTATTAGATATTGCCATTAAAATGTTTCTCTTAATTTAGCAAAATAAATTGATGCAGTCAGCATTTACTGAGAACATACTTTGTGCAGGTTCTATGCAAAAGCCTGTAAGTCAGTATCTCATTTAACCCTCACTGCACTTGTAGAAACCTCTGTCATTCCCAAGTGACAGATGAGGGTTGAGTCTTAGAAATGTTAAATAACTTGCCCAGAATCTCCTGTCCAGGAGATGCAGTAGCAAGGTTTGAAGCCTTGGCAGTTTGCCTTCTTAAATTTTTACAGGTATATAGAAGGTATATATAAATGTTAATATTTTCAGGGTACATAGGATGTTTCAATACAGGCATATAATGTGTAAGAATCACATCAGGGTATGTAAGGTATCTGTCACCTCAAGCTTTTATTATCCTATTGCAAACATTCCTACTGTACTCCCTCAAGTATTTAAAAATGCAGAACAAAGCATTGCTGACTATATTCACCCTCTCGTGCTATCAAATTGTAGATTGTATTTATTGCATCTAACTATCTTTTTGTACCCATTAACCATCCCCTTTTTCCTGCCTCCCCTTCCCAGCCTGGGAACCATCCTTCTACTCTCATATCCATGAATTACATTGTTTTAATTTTTAGCTCTCACAAATGAGAATCTGTGGAGGTTGTCTTTCTGTGTCTGGCTTCTATCACTTAATGTCTTCGAGTTCCATCCACGTTGTTGCAGATTACAGGCTCTCATCCTTTTTTGATGGCTAAATACTACTCCATGGCTGTATTGATGGTCACGTGGCTATTGTGGATAGTGCTGTAATAAACATGGAAATGCAGAGATGTTTTTGATATACTAATTTATTTTTTGGGGGGAATATACCAAGCAGCAGCAGGATTGCTGAGTCATACGCTAGTTCTATTTTCAGTTTTTTGAGGCACCTCCCCATACTGTTCTCAATAGTGGCTGTACTAATTTACATTCCCACAGAGTATGAGGGTCTTCTTTCTCCATATCCTCACCAGCATTTGTTGTTGCCTGCTTTGGGATAAAAGTCATTTTTTTTTTCTTTGAGACGGAGTTTCGCTCTTGTTACCCAGGCTGGAGTGCAATGGCGCGATCTCGGCTCACCACAACCTCCACCTCCTGGGTTCAGGCAATTCTCCTGCCTCAGCCTCCTGAGTAGCTGGGATTACAGGCACGCGCCACCATGCCCAGCTAATTTTTTTATCTTTAGTAGAGATGGGATTTCACCATGTTGACCAGGATGGTCTCGATCTCTTGACCTGGTGATCAACCCGCCTCGGCCTCCCAAAGTGCTGGGATTACAGGCTTGAGCCACAGCGCCTGGCCTCTTCCCGGCCTTTAAAGCCTTCTCTTTGGCTTCAGCTTTAGGAGGGGCAGGAGCTTCCTTCTTCGCTTTCGGCGCCATCTTGTGAAAAGGGTCCACTTTTTGTATTTTTTTTAAAGATGGAATTTCACCATGGTGCCCAGGCTGGTCTTGAACTATTGAGCTCAAGCAATCCACCCACCCCAGCCTCCCAAAGTGCTGGGATTACAGTTGTGAACCACTGCAACCAGCTTTTTTTCGAGTTTTTAAGACTTTTCTTATGTCCTAATAAGTCATGGTCTATACTTGGGAATTATCCATGTGCTGAGGAGAATGTGTAACCTGCAGTCATTGGATGAAATTGTCTGTAAATATCTATTAGGTCCATTAGGTCCGATGTTTCTTTGTTGATTTTCTGTCTGGATGATTTGTGCAGTGTTGAAAATGAAGTAGTTAAGTCTCCAACAACTATTGTATTGGGGTCTATCTCTCTTTAGCTCTGAAAATACTTGCTTTATGTATCTGGCTGCTCCATTGTTGGGTGTGTATATATTTACAATTGTTAGATCCTTTTGCTGAATCGTTCCCTTTAGCATTATATGACTTTCTTTGTATCTCTCTACACTTTTTGTCTTAAGCTCTATCTAATCTAAGTATAGCTGCTTCTGCTCTTTTTTGGTTGTCATTTGCATGGGAATTTTTCTTCCCTCCCTCTATTTTTAGTGTACGTGTGTTTCTTTTTTTTAAAAAAATTTTTATTGGATTTTAGGTTTTGGGGTACATGAGCAGAGCATGCAAGACAGTTGCATAGGAACACACATGGCAGTGTGCTTTCCTTTCCTTCTCCCCTTCACCCACATTTGGCATTTCTCCCCAGGCTATCCCTCCCCACCTCCCCCTCCCACTGGCCCTCCCCTTTTCCCCCCAATAGACCCCAGTGTTTAGTACTCCCCTTTCTGTGTCCATGTGTTCTCATTGTTCATCACCCGCCTATGAGTGAGAATATGCGGTGTTTCATTTTCTGTTCTTGTGTCAATTTGCTGAGGATGACGTTCTCCAGATTCATCCATGTCCCTACAAACGACACAAACTCATCATTTCTGATTGCTGCATAATATTCCATGGTGTATATGTGCCACATTTTTCCAATCCAGTCTATTATCAAAATTGAAAGAGCTAGAGGAGCAAGATCAAAAAAACTCAAAATCCAGCAGAAGACGAGAAATAACTTAAATCAGAGCTGAACTGAAGGAGATTGAGACACGAAAAACCCTTCAAAAAATCAATAAATCCAAGAGCTGGTTTTTTGAAAAGATCAACAAAATAGACAGACCACTAGCCAGATTGATTAAAAAGAAAAGAGAGAACAACCAAATAGATGCAATAAAAAGTGATAAAGGGGAAATCACCACAGATTCCACAGAAATTCAAACCATCATCAGAGAATATTACAAACAACTCTATGCACATAAACTAGTAAACCTGGAAGAAATGGATAAATTCCTGGACTCCTGCGTCCTCCCAAGCCTAAACCAGGAGGAAGCTGAAACTATGAATAGACCAATAACAAGGTCAGAAGTTGAGGCAGCAATTAAGAGCCTACCACACAAAAAAAGCCCAGGTCCAGACGGGTTCACAGCCGAATTCTACCAGACACACAAAGAGGAGCTGGTACCATTCCTTCTAAAACTATTTCAAACAATCCAAAAAGAGGGAATCCTTCCCAAATTATTTTACCAGACCAACATCATTCTGATACCAAAACCCGGCAGAGACCCAACAA